ACAAACTTACGTTTTTTTTTTGTTCACTTATATATTTTTGTGAAATTACTTACGTGATTTGTGAAAATTTACGCATATTTGTGTTGTTCTAATTTTTTGATAACGAACTCATTTACGTGATTTGTGAAAACTTACGCATTTTGTATTGTTTTAAATTTTTTGGAATAAATTTAAGCATTTTTATGAAATCACTTATGTGATTTGTGAAAAACTTACCCATATTTGTATTGTTCTAAATTTTTTGAAATAAACTTATGTCTTTTTGTGTTCACTTGCACACACTGCTGGAAAATCGACTTTTAGCGGCGTTTCAAAAACGCCGCTATAAGTACTAAAAACGTCGCTAATTGTTTTTGTGACGTTTAGTACCAAACGCCGACGACGCGGCCGTCGCTATAGCTTTATGGCGTTTGAAAAACGTCGTTATATTGAAAAAGTGACGTTTATAAAAACGCCATGAAATAAACGCTGCTAAATCCCATTTTTCCTGTAGTGACATTTTTATGAAATCATTAACGTGATTTGTAGAAACTTACACATTTCATATTGTTTTAATTTTTTAGGAACCAACTTACATGTTTTTGTATTCACTTACGCATTTTTGCAAAATCACTTATTTATTTGTGAAAATTTACACATTTTGTATTGTTCTAAATTTTTGGGAACAAACTTACTCGGTTTTGTAAAAATTTACGCATTTTTATGAAATCACTTATGTGATTTCTGAAAACGTATGCATATTTCTATTGTTCTAAAATTTTTGGAACAAACTTATGCGTTTATGTGTTCAATTTTTCATTTCTATGAAATCACGTATGTGATTTGTGAAAACTTACGCATTTTGTGTTGTTTTAAATTTTTGAGAATAAACTTACGTAGTTTTGTGTTCAATTACGTATTTCTATGAAATCACTTACGTGATTTGTGAAGATTTATGCATATTTGTATTGTTCTAAATTTTTTGGAACAAACTTACGAGCTTTTGTCTTCACCTACTCATTTTTGTGAAATCATTTACGTCATTTATGAAAAGTTACGCATTTTGTGTTGTTCTAAATTTTTAGAAACATACTTACGTATTTTTGTAAAAACTTACGCATTTTTGTAAGATCATTTACGTTATTTGTTAAAATTTATGCATATTGTGTTGTTATAAGTTTTTTGGAATAAACTTACGTATTTTTGTATTCACTTTCGCATTTCTGTGACATCACTTATGTGATTTGTGAAAACTTATACACTTTGTGTCATTCTAAATTTTTGGGAACAAACTTACCCGTTTTTATGAAAATTTATACATTTTTGTGAAACCACTTACGTGATTTGTGAAAACTTACACATATTTATGTTATTCCAAATTTTTGAGAAAAAAACTTACACATTTTTGTGTTCACTTACGCAGTTTTATGAAATTACTAACGTGATTTATGAAAACTTACGCATTTTGTATTGTTCTAAATTTTTGAGAACAAACTTACGCATTTTTGTGAAATCACTTACGTGATTTGTGAAATTTACACATGTTTGTGTTGTTCTAAATTTTTAGGAATGAACTTACACGTTTTTGTGTTCACTTATGCATTTTTATAAAATCACTTACGTGATTTGTGAAAAATTATGCATTTTGCATTGTTCTAAATTTTTTAGAATAAACTTATACATTTTTGTGAAAGCTTACGCATTTTTATAAAATTACTTACGTGATTTATGAAAACTTATGCATATTTGTGTTGTTCTAAATTTTTTAGAACAACTCACACATTTTTTTGTTCACTTATGCATTTTGTTTTGTTCTAAATTTTTTAGAACAAACTGATGCATTTTTGTGAAATCACTTATATGATTTATGAAAACTTACGCATGTGTGTGTTGTTCTAAAAATTTAGAACAAACTTATACGTTTTTGTGTTTACTTACGCATTTTTGTGAAATCACTTACGTGATTTGTAAAAATTTACGCATTTCGTTTGTTTTAAATTTTTGGAAACATATTTATGTATTTTTTGGAAAACTCATGCATTTTTGTGAAATCACTTATATGATTTGTGAAAACTTATGCATATTTGTATTGTTCTAAATTTTGATAACAAACTTACTCGTTTTTGTAAACATTTACCCATTTTTGCAAAATCACTTACGTGATTTGTAAAATTTACGCATATTTGTGTTGTTTTAAATTTTTGAGAACAAACTTATCCGTATTTGTGAAAACTTATGCATATTTGTGTTATTCTAAATTTTTGATAATAAACTTACACGTTTTTTATTCTTTTATGCATTATTGTGAAATCACTTATCTGATTTGTGAAACTTACGCATTTCGTGTTGTTCTAAATTTTTGACAATAAATTTATATATTTTTGTGAAACTTGGGCATTTTTGTGAAATCGCTTACGCAATTTTCTTACGCATATTTTTGTTGTTCTAAATTTTTTAGAACAAATTTATACATTTTTGTGTTCACTTACGCATTTTTGTAAAATTAGTTACGTGATTTGTGAAAACTAATGCATTTTGTGTTGTTTTAATTTTTCTGGGAACAAATTTACTTGTTTTTGTGTTCACTTTCGCATTTTTGTGAAATCACTTATAGGAACAAATTTTTACGCATTTTGTATTATTCTAAATTTTTTGGAACAAATTTACGCGTTTTTGTGAAAAATTATGCATTTTTTGAAATTACTTATGCTAGTTGTGAAAACGTATGCATTTTTATGTTGTTTTTTAATTTTGAGAACAAACTTACGTATTTTTATGAAAATTTAAGCATTTTTATGAAATTATTTACATATATATAATATGATCTATTATTTTAATATGTTTATCTATAAGTTAACCTGTATAAGTTCTAACACAAAAATATATAAATTCTAAAACAAATTTGTATAATTCAAACAATGAAAATGTATAAGGAATCATGTATGCCTTGCATATGGTATGCAAGACATACTTAAAAATTGTCCAATTTATAAATAATTGTACCATACAGGCTCATTGTCAATTTAAACATTAAGAAATGTTAGGAACACACACCAACATAAAATGGGATACATAGTCCCGTTATGTGTTCGGTGTTTGCGCACTTAGACTTATTGTGTAAACAATGTATCTATTTAGGAAATAAGTTACTTATTTATTATTTTTAGAAAAAATTACTCATAAATTTCATTTGGAGAAAAGTCATTCCATTTAATCTTAAAAGTTTTCTTTCAAATTAGTTAGTCCTTTTTATTTTAGGTATGTTGTATTTTCTTGATTTGGAAATTTGGAAGTTTACTTGTTTGGCCTTGTGTGTGATTTTGTTTGGATATTTTCCTAATGTTGGGTGTATGTGAGTAAGGTAGGTTTTTATATTTCTATATATATATATATATATATATATATGTGTGTGTGATGAAAATATCAAAATAAGTTAATTTCGAAGTACAATTGTACAATTTGAAAATGTATTAAAAATGCGATAACAAAAATTTTGCAAAAATTATTGTTTCGGTTCAAAGTCTTTATCATATTTAAAAACTTTATGTACTTATTTTATTTTATTTTTTTACAGTTGCATTAATTTATTGGTCTTCGTAGTTTGACTATTTGTCGGGGGAGCAAACTCTGACTATTTTTAGTAACTTCTCTTGCATATACTTTAGGGACAATTACACTGAGTATAAATTAATTATTTATTAATTATAAATTATTAAAAGGTTACTTGATCCATAAATTCAAATTTCAATTTTATTTGGTTAAAGATCTACGGATTGAAATACTTTATTCTTAAGGAAATGACTAAACAAAATGACTAAAATACTCTTCTATATATAAAACCGTCTCTTGCCCTCTCTTTCTCTCCTCGCAAACAAACCCTAAACATCTCTCTCATCTCTCTTTTTCTCCCTTTCATCTCCAACACCACCACCTCCCTCGTGGCCAACTAGGGTCGGCCCTGGCCTAAGGCTAGTAAAGCCTGTGCCTTAGACCCCAAATTTTTGACCCAAAAATAGAGGTCCCAAATTTAGTAAAATGTTATAGGCCTATTTTTTTTTTTTTTTTTTGATTTTTGGATCAATTTAAAGGGTCCGAAAATATTTTATTGGGCTCATGTATGGTTTAGCCCATATTTATTTATAAGTGTGGTTTGACCCATATTTATTAAAATGAAAATATATACAAAAAAAAAAGTGTTTGGGCCCAACCCAAAAAGAACAATACATACAATATACATTGCTTAGTGCTCTCTCTCTCTCTCTCTCTCTCTCTATCTCTCTCACGAACGCGAAGTGATGAAAAAAGAAGCATATACCAAGCAAGCATAAAGCAGGGCAGGCAGACGCAAACGTAGAGAGCACAGCACTGAGCGACTCACTTTCTCTCTCTCTCACACACACACTCTCTCTCTCTCTCTCTCTCTTTCTCTCTCTCATAGTAAGTCCTCTCTTTCATTATCAAATTTTATTAAATAAAGTTGTCCTAATTTTTTTCTACATTCTTTCTTTATCAGTTAGTGGAATAATAATTTTGCCCTAATTTTTTTTTACCTCATTTATCTATTCGATTTTAGTGGAATAAATAATTTTGCCCTAATTTTTTTTTTACCTAGGTCTTTATCAGTTTTAATTGAATAATTTTTACCTAATTTTTTTTCCATAATTTTGTTTCATTAAATTGTTTTTTTTTATAATTTATTTGCTATCAGATATGAGATAATTAGTGGATTGTGATTTGTGAATTGAAGTGTTTGTAATTTGTGGATTCAAGTGTTTGTGATTATAGTCATGTTTCCTAGGAAGTATAGTTCTGGAAATAAAAAGAGATAGAAGAAGATGAAAGTAGAATAATTAATTCAATCTCAATCAAGAGCACTTGATAAATATTTTGGTACCAAGAAACAAGTAGATATTTCGGGTTCAAATCACAATGATGATGAAGATTTGATAATTGAAGAATCTACTCATTATGTGAATAATAATAAGGATGATGATTTGGTGATTGAAGAAACTAGTGAACATATGACTGAGAATGAGAATGAGAATGAGAATGAAGATTTGGGGAATGTAGAATCTAGTGAAAGTGAAGATGTCAATGTTAAATGTGGACATCTAAATATTTATGACCCTAGTAATTGGGACAAGATTGATCAAAATTTAAGAGATTTATTAGTTGAAAGAGGTCCTATAAGAAGTAATGGTGTGAATTTTCCCCTAGATGACAAAGATAGGCATTTTTCTTCTACATTTTACATGCGACAGATACAAAATGGAGAGAAACAGGATAGGAAGTGGCTAGTATATTCAGATGCTTCAGACAAAATGTTTTGCTTTTGTTGTAAGTTGTTTAAGCAACATGGGAACAATATTCATTTGGCTACTAATGGATTGAAAGATTAAAAGAATATGGGGAATAGGCTTAGAAGTCATGAGACTAATAATGAGCACTTTATTTGCATGAGCAAATGGATTGAAGTGGGAAGTAGATTAAAGTAGAATGAAACAATTGATAGAATTGTTCAAGAACAAATCAACAACGAGAGAGAACTCTCGAGATAAGTGTTACTAAGGATAATTGCTATTGTGATCACTCTTGCTAAAAATAATTTAGCTTTTCGTGGAGACAATGAAAAGATTTATCAAGAATGAAATGAAATCTTTTTAAGCTTAATTAAAATGCTTGCCAAATTTGATCCAGTAATGCAAGAGCACATTCAACGTATTCAAAGGAGTGAAATTCATTATCATTATCTTGGTCATAAAATCCAAAATGAATTGATATAGATGTTAGCAAGTGAGATCAAGAGTATGATTGTGGTAAGAATCAAATAAGCAAAATATTTTTCATTTATTCTTGATTGTACTCCAAATGTTAGTCATGAAGAACAAATGTCTCTTGTGATAAGATGTGTAGATGTTTCAACTAGTCCGGTAAAGGTAGAAGAATTCTTTTTAGAATTTTTGAAGGTGGATAATACATCGAGGTTGGGACTTTTTAATGTACTTAAAGAGGCATTGCACACACTCCAACTTGATATTGGTGATATAAGAGGGCAAGGATATGATAATGGCTCTAATATGAAAGGGAGACACAAAGGCGTATAAAAAAGAGTACTTGAAATAAATCTAAGAGCATTCTACACGCCATGTGGGTGTCATAGTCTTAATCTTGCCCTTTGTGATATGGCTTCCTCTTGTTTCAAAGCTATCTATTTCTTTAGAGTGGTACAACACACATATATATATGTGTGTGTGTGTGTGTATGTGTGTGTGTGTGTGTGTGTTGTTTTTATCTTCTACAAAGAGGTGGAAAATTTTCAAAGACAATTAGAAGGTTTCACACTTAAGCCATTATCACAAACTTGATAGGAAAGTCATATTGAAAGTGCTAAAGCTATACGGTACCAAGCTCCACAAATAAGAGATGCTTTAATTCAGTTGGAAAAAGAATCTGATGTGCCCAATACAAAGTGTGAAGCTCAATCCTTAGTTACATCTGAAATTGAGAATTTTGAGTTTTTGCTTGGCATGATTGTCTGGCACAATCTGTTATTTGCAGTCAACTCTGTTAGTAAGACATTTCAAGCTGAAGAAACGCATATTGATGTTGCTATACATCAATTAAAAGGACTCATTACATTTCTTGAAAAGTATAGAGAAATTGAATTTTTGGAGGCCATGATTGCAGCTAAAGAAGTTGCAACTGAAATGGAGATTGAACCTATAGTTTGTGAAAGGCGTGTCATTCATAGAAAAAAACAGTTTGATGAGAATGTTAGTGAAGAGGTTGCACAATTAGCTGAAGAATCCTTTAGAGTTAATTACTGTCACGACCCAAACCCGGCCCTATGGGTTTAGCACCGTAACTGGCCAATAATCCGAGATTACCGAAGGCTTGCTGAACAGTAATACAGTAAAACAGAGTACAGGGCCTGGCGGAAGCCAAAACAGTAAATAAACAATGCCCAATGAGCTGCGACAGTCTATATGAAAAGATTTTTCATACATTTCTCCGTAAACAGTACAGAACGGTATGCACAATATTTACAATCATTCAAACTAGGGACTCAACCCTAGGTAACAGTACGGTAAAACAGTGAAACAGTACAGAAGGGGGAGTTGTAAAACACCCCTAAGCCCTAACACGTTAGGCTCGGAACCTCGCAGTGAGGCACAAAGGCTGGCTTGACAAAACTGGAGTAACCCTGACGCCTCTAGCTTCAATCCGGTGCCTGCACACCTACATATATATATGAGCAGTGAGCTAAAGCCCAGTGAATAACATAAAGCGTAAAGGGGTTTAGAATGAATGTCCTTACAGTAATGAAATCAGTTCATTAAACAATACTTCAGTCTTTCAGTCAGAACAGTTATTCAATCATATGTGGTACATCCATTAGCATAGAAGTAAACAGTAGGTCTTAAAGACCGAATAGTAGTGATGGCCATCAATCAGTAAACAGTAGTGGTTCCACGAGGGAACCGACAGAGATCTCTGTAACAGTAACAGTAACAGTAACAGTAGATGCCAAGGATGCCACAGTACAGTTTAGAATATAGGACATACATTCATTCAGTAAACAATAGCAGTTCAGTAAACAGTTCAGTTCAGTATTCAGAAGATAATCATTTGAACATATCTTTACACAATTGTTACTCACAGAGTTCGGGCTACAGTAAGCTAGAGCGTGTCTCCCCAGTCGCCAACCCTACACAGTTAACAGATTGAACACACTAAGCTACGCAGTTGGGAAATATAACAACTTAATCCCTAATGCCTCGGTGTGTTCTACATCTATATCCTCATAATCATTTCATCATTGCTACCAACAATGAGTATGTCATCAACGTATAGACACAAAATGACATAACCTTTCATAATTTCACAGACGTATGCGCATTTGTCACACTCATTGATTTTGAACCCATTTGACAACATAGCGTTGTCAAACTTCTCATGCCATTGTTTAGGAGATGGGTGAAATCTCCGTTCGACTCCCGCTCGAGCTTGAGACATGACTCCGCTCGAGCGCCCGATCCTCCGCTCGAGCGGACTGTAAAACAGTGCAGAGAGATGCTGGATGCTTGGATTCCACGCTCGAGCGCCACTTCCCCGCTCGAGCGGAAGTGCGAAATCTGGAAAACCCATATTGCACCTCCAAGCTCAAACTCAAGTTCAAAAGCATAATTTTTGATCCTCTTGGGCCCATTTTCTGGAAAACATTTATAAACACATAGTATAACATGGTTCAAAGCTCAATTTTGAGAAATCAAAGCCCAAGGGTGTTTAATTCAAGCTCAATTTCAAATCATTTTCAAGAACAATCTTCAAACATGACATGCATGATCTTTAAATAACTTTCAAGCTTCAAAACATGCTCTAGTGAGCCAATTGATTCACAAACAAGATGAAAACATGGACCATTACAAATTTATGGACATGCATGTGACAATTTGCCATGAATTCAACTCAAAATCCAACAATTCAAACATGCATGCATGAATTATGTTCTATTTCAACATGTATGAACTAAAACAAGACTTAGCTCCTTAATTTGACATGAATCATGCAAGAACAAGCTCAATTCATAAGCAAGAGGGTAATTACTCTACCTTTGGTCTTGAATTAGAAGACTAGGAGCTCAATTTAGCAATCTACACTTCAATTCTCTTCAAATTCTAAGCAATATTGAGATGAACTCAACTCCTCAAGTCTCTCTCTCTCTCTCTGGTCGGCTAAGGGTCTCACAAATAGGCTAAAGAAATATTTGATTCAATGTATAAGGCTCAAGTGTGTGTGTGAGATAGTGGTCCACTAGGGGTAGTTCGGTAAATAAGGCCAACTCTGCAATTGATCAATATTTAATCTAATTTAATCATACCTAATCAGTTTTCAGATAATTATACCATAAAATCATATTAAATATGACGATCATAATACACTAACCCATTTCCGGTTCGGCCGCCGATAAGGCCTTCAATTAATAAACATATAAGCATGAACAGATAATCATACAGTCAAACAGATAGAATGCAATTCAAACAGATGTATTCATTTAATTCAGTTTAAAGTTCGGTCAGTCAGTTCAGTACTTTAATCAGTTCAATTCTCAGTCAGTTATCAGTCATTATCAGTTCCGTTTAACAGTAATCGGTGATTATCATAATTAATCAGTCATTAATCAGTAAACAGTATGAGGGTTATTACAAACTAGGTGACACGTCGAGTGAGTAGTGTCGACAAGATTAAAGAGAATGCATACCAAGCAGCAAAGAAAATTCGGCAGACTATCCCAATCAACGTGGGCCCAAGCTGTCCCTTTTTGGAGGAGTAATAGGGATGTCAGCTTTGATATTATGATGATTATGATGGAAAGATCAGATCACGTAAGAAATATCTACACAAAACCTCTATATAAAAAAGATAACTAAAAGAAGAAAGGCATGCATTGCCACCCAAAAACTCTTACATTTTCTTGATTCATCAAGCCTATTCTCCCTCTCAACCAATCTCTAACTTGACCATTCCAGCACTCTTGACCAAAGTGTTTCTTGTTTTAGAAATTGAAGCGAGGATCCATTAAAGGTCTATTTGGGATGAAAGAGTATTGCAAAATCACCGCTCACATTAAACATCGAATGATATTTAGACACATGCTTTGAGTAAGCCTTTTAGTAAGAGTTGAAGAAGAAAGACCATTGCTAGAAGATCAAATTATATTATACACACACACACACACACACATATATATATATATCATATTATAATATGAAGAAGGGAATTGGGAAATTATTAACAAAGACAAATTAAAAATTAAAAAAAAATAAGGGGAAAAAAATCAAAATTCCCTTTTTTACATAACAAAGATGAAACGAACAAAATAATGTATAATATCTCAAAGGGAGAAATCTTAATTTTGTTGGGTGAACTCTCATATAACTTTTTTATAGGATCAATTCCGTTGAACGTGATCACCCACTTCATACTCTCTGTCCCGTCTTCTGACATCTGCATAACTTTTCTGTCTGCTCTGTGCAGTTTTCAGTCTTTGCTGTATCAGTTTCACTTTTTCAGTTGTTTCATACACAATCTCGGGCCCAAGCAAAGGCCCATCTCCAACTTCTGCCCAACAAATTGGAGACCTACATTTCCTGCCATACAATGCCTCGAAAGGCGCCATACCTATACTCGAATGGTAGCTGTTGTTGTAGGCGAATTCAGCTAATGGCAGATGACTTTCCCAGTTTCCCTGAAAATCAAGGACACACATTCTCAGTAAATCCTCCAGAGTTTGGATGGTCCTTTCTGATTGGCCATCTCTCTGAGGATGATAGGCACTACTCAGCCTCAATTCAGTACCCAATGCAGTCTGCAGGCTTTGTCAAAACCTCGATGTAAACTTCGAATCCCTGTCAGAAACAATAGACACAGGCACTCCATGCAGTCTCACAGGCACTCCGGCGACACCACACTGTCGGAGCTCTAGTAATCTAGAGAGAGATTGTGCTTTCTTGAGAGGGAATTTCAAATGAAAAATGATGGCGACATGAAAGAAGTTAGATGACAAAGATCTCTGGACTGGCATACTAGAATAACACTACGACGATGTGAGGAAAGTTATCGGAAATGCGATTGTTCTTTAGTGGTGCGAGTCGACGACGCTGGCGATTAGCATGCCGACGCTGGTGGCAAAGAACATGAATGGCGCGACAACTTCAACCTTACAGCAATGCCAAAATCGACAGTTATGGAAGATCCAAATATGTCAAGACGACATAGCAGAGCTTTGATCTACTTCGATCCATCTTGACCTGCTTCGATTTGTGACAGTGGGAGTTGGAGATGTGCTTTGATCTGGAGTAACACAGACTCTACTCTCACTCACACTCGAAAATTGATGGAAGCACCACTAGATGACATAGCAGAGCTTCGATCTATCCCGGTATGCTTCGATCGGCGATGGTGGAAGTCGAAGTTGTGCTTCGATCTAGAGTAACGCAGAATCTACTCTCACTTACACTCGAAAACCGACGAAGACACCATTAGATGCCGTAGTAGAGCTTTGATTTGCTTCAATCCATTCTGATAGGTTTCGATCGACGACGTTGAAAGTCAAAGATGTGCTTCGATCTGGAGTAACATAGACTCTACTCTCACTCATGCTTGAAAATCGATAAAGGCACCATCATCGGATGCAGATTGATTTATGTATTGGATATATATGTGTGAGGATATATTTTCTGAATACCAACACATGGCATGGTGACGCCGACGTGTCAGCCGAGGTGCCACGTGTCCTGGTAGTTACGCCGAGGTGATCTCGGAGTTACCGAGGTTATCTCCAAAGATATCGGAATCCGAGATAGGCGGATAGGGGACAAGAGTCCTAAGACGAAGAGGGGACTTAACCTAGATAAGGATAAAGCTCTTAGGGAGTTTATCTTTATCTCTTAAAGAGTCCAAAGTAAACATTGATATGAAGTTCATAGAAGTCATACTTCTAGTGGGACTTGGATTGAGTATATTATAAAAGAGAGGCACCCCCGTGGGTCTAAGGTATGCAATTTATGTTTTGAGTATTCAGTTTAGCACTTGATTTATCTTTGAGAGATATACTGACTTGATCGTCGGAGTGCCCCCGGGTGGAAGAACCACCGCCGGAGCTTTTTCTTTCTGTTACAGGTTGCTAAAGCCATCTATTCTGCCTGTGCTCTCCAGCTGATCACTAAACGGGCAGTGTGGTCAGATTTTCACCCACACAATTTGGCGCCGTCTGTGGGAACGAAGGAAGAATAGATGGCCAGTAACGGACAGCAGGAAAATATTGGGGATGACGCTCCCACTGGGAGTGGCAGACCAATTGACTGCAGAATAACGTTATGCAGCCACCATACCCGCTGCAAGATACACCAATGCCAGCAACCAACGCCCAAAAGGGCGGAAGAAAAACAATCCCCGAGGTCCCTCAACATACCAGGAGCGGAAGGCATTCTCACCGGCCTTCCAGGGAAGTCGGACAGGAAAAGCCGAGGCAAGAAGAGTCCCGAAGAACGCACCACATGAAGAATCCAGACCCCAAAGAGCATCGACATGTTGGCAAGTACTCCACTTTGACACAACCCATGAAGAAAGACCCAAACGGACCCACCACGAGGCTGAAAGCAGTGTACCAAAAAGATTAAAATCCAAAGACAGCCGAGCTCCAGGGAGGAGCAAAGAAGACCTGAGGGACTACCTCAAAAGGAGGCAGCAGAATGCTGAAGCCGAGGTAAACTCCCCAGTAAAACCGAAGACAGCCTTCTCGGTGGAACTGGACAAATTCGAACCACCAAAGAGATTCAGCATGCCGAGGTTCCAAATTTATGATGGCAAGTCAGATCCAAACTTTCATGTTGGACTATACTTGAATTCAATGGCGTTATATAGCGGGAACGAGCCGTTGCTCTGCAAAGTTTTCCCCTCATCCTTTGGGGAAATTGCATCTGATTGGTTCCATAAGTTACCGAAAGGAAGCATAAAGACATGGGAAGGCTTGGCCGAGATGTTTGTGGCCAGGTTCGTGACCAACAAGCTGCAGCCCCTGAGGGTTGATGCTTTGATGGCTCTAAGAATCACCAAGGAAGAAGGCCTTAGGGCCTATGCGAAGAGGTACTACGAGGTGTTCAACCGAATACCCGAATGCAACCAAGAGGTAGCGGTCGTGTCTTTCAAGAACGGCCTGAAAGATGACTGCCCACTACGGAAGTCTTTGGCAAAAACATTGCCAAAAAGCATGGAAGAACTCATGGCAAGAATTAAGAAATACGCCAGGGCCGAAGAAGTTACATCGGGAAACAAAGAGGTAAAGCAAGAAAAGGGAAACGGCTCGCCAAAGCGAGGTCGAGTCAACAATGGGCCGACCAAACAAGAAACAGAATTAAGAAATAAACAAGCGGTAACAACGGTATTCCGGATCCCAATCCATAAAGTCTTAGATCAGATTCGAAATCTGGCAAGAGCACCAGGGGAATTCATGGGAAGGAACGTTGGTAGACGTTGTGCCTACCACAATGAAGAAGGGCACCCAACTCAAGGCTGCAGAGCCTTGAAAGCACACTTGGAGGACCTGGTAAGACAAGGCCTTCTGAGGGACCTGGTCGATGAGGCCAGGACAAGGGTAGAACAGGCAAGGTTGCCTCAAGCACCAGCAGCACCGCCTCTCCCGGCACAACTACCACAAGCAGGAGGACCGAGGGTAGTTAATGTGATCCACTCTAGGGTCAACGAAAACGAAGTCAGAGGAGAGACCCAGAGGGTAAGACATTTACAGCATATCTACCAAATCGGGGAAAACCCAACTCAAGGTTGCAGAGCCTTGAAAGCACACTTGGAGGACCTGGTAAGACAAGGCCTTCTGAGGGACCTGGTCGATGAGGCCAGGACAAGGGAATAACAGGCAAGGTTGCCTCAAGCACCAGCAGCACCGCCTCCCCCAGCACAACTACCACAAGCAGGAGGACCGAGGGTAGTTAATGTGATCCACTCTAGGGTCAACGAAAACGAAGTCAGAGGAGAGACCCAGAGGGTAAGACATTTACAGCATATCTACCAAGTCGGGGAGAAGAGACATCGGCCAGAAGAATGCCAAGGGCCGATGATAGCCTTTACTGAAGCCGACCTGGAATGGGTTCAACATCCGCATAATGATGCCTTGGTAGTATCCCTCCAGGTTGGGGAATGCCAAGTGAAACGCATCCTAATAGATCAAGGCAGCTCCTGTGACATCATGTATGTCAGATGTTACAAAGAGCTGGGCCTTCACCCTGATGACTTAGAATAATCCAACGGCCCGATGGTCGGCTTTAATGGAACGCCGACATGGCCACTAGGCGCAACAAGCTTGGAGGTACAAGCCGGCACTAAGAAGATTTGGACGGAATTTCTGGTAATCGACACACCCTCACCATACAACATCATCTTGGGAAGGCCGTGGTTGCATGCAATGGGGGCAGTTCCCTCAACGTTGCATCAACTACTACGCAAAAGGATGCCGAAGCCTATGTGAAGAAGTGCGAACAGTGCCAAAGGTTTGCACCTTTGATACATCAGCCAGCTGCTGACCTGAACCCAGTATCCAGCCCTTGGCCGTTTGCCCAATGGGGCATGGATCTGGTTGGACAACTTCCCCAGGCAACTGGGCAGAGAAAATACTTGCTGGTAGCAACAGACTACTTTACAAAATGGATAGAGGCAGAACCTCTTGCCAAAATCCGAGATGTGGACGTCAAGAATTTTATATGGAGAAACATCATCACCAGATTTGGATTCCAAGAGCAATAGTTGCCGACAACGGAACACAGTTTGACAGCAAGCTCATCAAGAACTTTTGTGCAAAATCAAGATCAAGAATTATTTCTCAACACCAAGTTTTCCTCAAAGCAATGGGCAAGCAGAGGCATCCAACAAAGTAATCCTGGACGGAATAAAGAAGAGGCTGCAGGCAGCAAAAGGAAAGTGGGTAGACAAGTTGCCCAACGTACTTTGGGCATATCGGACTACGCCGAGAAGATGAAAGCACCATAGACGTTTTGCCATGGCCTATGGCACAGAAGCAGTCATCCCATTGGAGATCGGCATCCCAGGGATCAGAACCCAGGGAGTAGAGAATGGCACCAATGACATACTCTTAGCCCGAGACCTTGATTTGTTGGAAGAACGAAGAGAGAAAGCTGCAATTCAGCTTGCAGTATACCAGCAACAGCTTGCCAGAGCTTACAACAAGAAGGTTAATCCAAGAGATTTTCAAGTTGGCGACCTAGTCCTAAGAAAAGTCGTCGGGAACAAGAAGGATCCCAGGGAGGGCAAGCTTGGCCCAAACTGGGAAGGACCCTACAGAATTACTTCAGTATTAGGCAATGGAGCTTATCGGCTTGAGGACAATGAGGGCAAATCATTGCCCAGACCTTGGAATACTTGTAATTTGAAA